AGCGGCCTAGAGTAGATAGTCTAAAAAACGACTAATTCTAAAGAAAAGAAAATGAATATTATAATAACTGTTTTTAAAACAGAACAAAGCGACTATGAGCGTGTAATTTTGAAATTCAAAAGACACTCGATAGAATCTCACTAAAATGCTTAAATTTATATAGGAACGCAGCTTGCCTATATCAGCTCCATTCGAGATGGCTGACTCAAGCTGATGGGCAAGAGCTGCTGCATCACCAAGTCCCAAATTAGCGCCCTGACCGGCCAAAGGAAGCAGACGATGTGCTGCATCACTGGACAAATAGCATATGTTATAAAAGTAAAATAGAAATACCAAAGCAAATAGAAAGATTAAAATTGAGGGTGAATTGGAGCAACACATGGAAAAATAAAAAAATAAAATATATCAATACTTTATGATAGATAGCAGTGCAAGATAAAAGATGTGCAAAATAGTCTCAATTGAATAAACTGATAGACAGGACTGAGACTGTGCCTTAGGATTCTAAGAACCTTTATTCCAAATGCACTATGCATGGAATACACTATTACTTTATGGTCAGTAGATATACAGAAAATAAAAATTGTCTATATGAAACCTAATTGTTTTACTGTCTAAGCTTAACTAATGAGTAAAAACTCGGTTCACTTTTTAATTAAGTAATTAAGTAAGTTAGTCAAAGCAAAGCCTCGAATCCCCTTTGGAGAGAGGTTTTATAAATATATGTTATATAAAGGTTGGAATGATTCGTTTTTATGATATCGTAAAGTGAAAAGATTCGAAGGATCAAATATACACGAGTGGTAGATATTCTAGAACTAGATATGTTTTGGGCATAAGGAAGGATCGGGTTTATGTTACCCAGGAAATCGAGCTGCAGCTTTTTGAAAAATGCTTAAATCATTGCAAATAACGGGTTTATGAATACATTACGCAATACAATACAATACGTAATAGCGACTATTAAGAGGCTTAAAGAAGATGTTAGTATTAGACCAGCTGAGAAAGGAAGGCTCGAGCTTGATTCAAAGTTTCACAAGCACATAGCTCGTTCAGTGATATGCATAAATAGGCTGACAAAGACACACTTATTCTAGTCACCAGAGCCATAAATATCCTATTCGAAGTTACGATAATTGGATTATGTAGTTTACAAATAGTATCCTCTTAGGAGACTAGCTGAAATAGCGTAGGCCTGCTGCTTCGATTTGTTTTAAATTCAGCAGACGTAGTTCTCACAGTA